TTCCAGCATCTGAAACTCCATGAAAGGGCTGGGAGGTGCCAGTGCCAAGGGTTTAAAAAAAAATGAAAAGTGTATGTACCGAGGAGATGTACTGACTATTTTGTATTCTATTTTGTCCTGATGTGCATTTTTACATTTTGCTCAGTTTCTCCATCTAGCCTGAGGGCCAGTGCACACCAAAACACAGTGTGTGGGGGGCCAATGAATTGATAATGGGGCCCCAAATACATCTCACAAATGCAGTGCATTATGGTACGGTAGTTGCATTACAATTTGGTGCAGTGCGTGCTGAACAAGTAGCTCTTGCAGTACTTTTTCCACATTCCAGTGCATTTGCAGCCCATTCAAATGAATGGGCTGCAAAACTGGACCACATGGGAACATGAAGGAAACACACGGGAAGGAGCATGTTCCGGTATGAATCGGTCCTGAAAGTTGCTGTCTGAAGCCTCGGAGAGGTCCCATTACTGGGCCTGATGGGCATCATAAAATGGATTAAAGCCATCACCCTCCCATCTATATACATGCATGCCTCCTGCCTGGTTTGGTACTGATTGGATGTCGGTGGTAGCGATACGTCAATAGTGGTTCCCAATCTGTGGAGTGCAGTTCATATGTGCAATTATTCTATTTATTTTACCCCCATAATGGTGCAAACATCGGCCAACACAAGGTAAGGCCTGTTAGGGTTGGACGCCTTGACAAGACTGTCTAGCATGGTAAAGAATTAGTGAGCAGTTCACAGGAGGGTCCTTCTCCAAATGTTGGCCCTGCAACTTCCCTCACATCAAGTCACTGATTAATGTAAAACGGAGGAAAAAGAGAAATATTTCCACAGCCCAAACCAACCAATCACATGTCATCTTCTGCTCTCTAAGAAGAACTCTAAGATAAAACATGGAATTTGATTTGTTGTTATGGAGTTGTTCATAAATCGTTGTCTTTGTTGGGTGTCTGACCTATATCACATGTGAAGGTGATGACGGCAGATTGGACCAGGAATCCTCTCTATGTAGAAGTCCGTGTCCATGGATCTGTCACTGTTATTCTCCACCAGAAGGTTTAACATCTGAGGATTGTGGCTGTCCCTGGATATTCTCAATCAGAACAGAGGGGACGAGTGGCTGGGTGACACCTCTTCTTTCTCTGGAGTTGGTTTCCCTGTAAAATTGGAAGGAATGATAAAACTGCATTAAACATGGACATATTACTGCTCTGTCCCAACTATCTCCAACCATCCATAGTTATCCTTCCCATTATGTACATATAAAGCTCAGCCATGGGTCGTGGTAACGTCCTCCTTCTCCCTCCAGAACATTCTCAGCTTTGTCTGTGTTTTCCCATGACAACAGTTGGCAGTTTATTTTATTTTTCTGGAATTACATTTTCTACCTGTCATTTGTGGAACCCATTGAAATGTTATTACTTGCAATACATTAAAATGGACATTAGATGATGGTGGCCTGCCATTCAGGGTCACTCACATGGACAGAACATCTCTGTGACCGAGGGTAAGCGGGACAGAACACCCAAAGCAGATGGCAAACACAAAGCTTTATTGAAACAAATAACAGTCACTCAATGGGGACATTGCAGGGTGGGTGACCGCATCAATGGGGGAGTAGCACAGAGAGAGAGCCCAAAATACTTGTAATCCAGCCCCGGTGGGCAAAGTTAAAGTCTCTACAGCAGTTTGTAATCCAACAGTGAGGTAGAGGGGCAGTTCACAGACATTTCAGGTAAAACAGGGGGGAGCATGCACTCACGCAGTGCTGGCATGCGGTCTCAGGCAGGCAGGCATGCGGTCTCAGGCAGAGCTGATGTTGTGGGCCTCAGGCAGAGCTGATGTGTGGTCTCAGGCAGGCTGGCATGCGATCTCAGGCAGAGCTGATATGTGGTCTCAGGCAGGCTGATGTGTGGTCTCAGGCAGGCTGGTATGCGGTCTCAGGCAGAGTGACATGTGGCCTCAGGCAGCTTCTGGGTCCCCCCTGTATCCAATGGGGTCTTAGGCAGAGTCTGGCCACGAAGTCCCGCCGCGGATGGGATCGCTCAGTGGCTGCACAGCAGCAGAATGGATGGCCAGGAGAGCCTAGCATCGGTCTCTTAAACCGGTGATAGACGTTTCCCGTTCATCCTGGTAACTGGGGCGGGCCGTCGGCAGCATGCCTCGTTGCTCTCAGCAATGAGGCACGCCCCCCTGGACACGGGTCGCCGCTCACATGACCGCGGCCTTTGTCCGGACTGTGTTCGTAAGCACACAAACTTTCGTTCACGCGATACGAAGTCTGGATCGTATGGCGTCACCCTACGCCGTGACCCAGATCCTCCCCGCAGGAGGTTCGCACCTCTCCTCGGACGGTGCTGAACTAGGCCGCGAGCCAGGGTTGGAGAGAGGGGAAGAGCGAAAAGAGCCTACTGACCACCGGTCCGGCACGCTGCCTAGCAGGCCAACCTGACACGCCGCTACAATCTGCCCGACTACTCTGACCGGGTGAGAGACCCATACACCCACTAACCGAGTGAATACTGACAGTTTGCCACCTCAGCTATCTACCTACACATAGTTGTGAACATTACATATATCACTTCAGGTTGTGGCCTAGTTCTCCCAGCCGCCATTGTTGGGACACATCTGCATTACAGTTTATTTCTACAAGCTGACCGCAGGACATACAGTTGCAGGCCAGGATACAGCAATGCCAACAAAGCAGGATTCCTTCTACTGATCATTTTGCCTTTGATATTCAGAGGGAGTTGTCTTTTGTCCATTTACACTTATGCCAATTGTTGCTATTCATTACTTCAAGCCTGCTCCCTGTTTAGTGTTTTAAAGGGGACCCCACCCTAATTTGCTACCATCAAGAGGAAAAGTGTTAAATCTCCTTTGTTCCTTCACTATCTTTTGTGTTGCCATCCGAAGGAACTATATTCCACACCTTAACTCAACTTAATACCAACTGGGCTCCAATGAGCGCACAGAAAACACTTTAGTGTTCTTATCCACTTTCCAACCGCGCTATAGCTGAAAGACAGCTACAGCGCAGTTGTCTAGCTCTGGGAGGGCGTCCATGGATGTCCTCCCAGAACATGCCCCCTGCGCGCACCGGCACCGCCGCCGATTGCTGTGTTCTACGGACACAGCTGATCACGTGATACGGTAAAAGGCCAATCACAGCAGCCTTTTACCACGTGATCAGCTGTGTCCAATGGCACAGCAGATCACCAGATAAATACAGTTGTCGGTTATCGACATCACTTTCCTCACCCTGTCACAGCGTGAAGAAAGAACTGCCGAGAAGGGAAGGGATCAGCACTGATCATCAGGGCACTGATGATCAGTGCTCAACAGTGCCACCCATCTGTACCCATCAGTGCATCCCACCTGTGCCCATTAGTACCTCCTACCTGTGCCCAGAAGTGACTAGCAGTGCCACCCGCCTGTGCCACCCACCTGTGCCCATCAGCAATGCCCACGTGTACCCATCAATGCTGCCAACCTGTAGCTATCAGTGCCACCTGCCTGTGCCCATCAGTTCCACCCACCTGTGCCCAGCAGTGCCACCCATCAGTGCCCAGCAGTGGCACCAGTCAGTGCCCAGAAGTGCCGTCAGTCAGTGCCACCAATCAGTACTGCCCATCAGTGTTGCCTATCAGTGCCAACTATCAGTTGAGCATTATCAGTGCCAGCTCATCAGTGCCACCTATCATGCCACCTATCAGTGCTTCCTATCCAGTGCCCATCAGTGCTGCCTCATCATGCCCATCAGTGCTGACTATCCGTGCCCATCCACCTCATCAGTGCCCATCAGTACTGCCTATCCATGCCACCTCATCAGTGCCCATCAGTGCTGACTATCCGTGCCACCTCATCAGTGCCCATCAGTGCTGACTATCTGTGCCACCTCATCAGTGCTGACTAATCCATGCCGCCTCATCAGTGCCCATCAGTGAAGGAGAAAAATTACCTGTTTGCTAAATTTTATAAATAGAAACAAAGAAAAACTTTTTTATACAAATTTTTTGCTCTTTTTTTGTTTTATACAGCAAAAAATAAAAACACCCAACGGGGAGTGCATACCACCAAAAGAAAGTGCTATTTGTGTGATAAACTGATACAAATGTCATATGGGTACAGTGTAAAGGGGGACAGCGCTGAAAGCTGAAAATTGTCCTGGGCAGGAAGGGGGGGGAAGGGCCCGGTAGGCGAGGGGTTAAAGGGACAGTGCTCAATTTCAAATGAGAATTCTCTTTCCTTCACATCTAATCCTTGCCATCTAGTTCTGAGGGCCCTCAGTGAGCTTACCTGTTTCTTGTTGGTTGTTTTTTCTGCTCACTGGGGGATCCAGCACTCCCCTCAGATTGGAAGTAGCGGATTATTTCTGAAAGCCGGCCTGCTAATTATAAATAGTTATTGTTATTATTATACAGGATATATGTCACCAACAGTTTGCTCAGCACTTTACAATATAACGGGAGACAATACAGCAACAATACAGTTCAATACAAGAGTGATAGGAGGGCCCTGATCCTGGGAGCTTACAATCTAAGAGGGAGGGGCTGGTGGTACAAAAGGTAGTAACTGTGGGGGATGGACTGGTAGGAGGAATAAAAGATTCCATTATTAGCTGAAGGCAGGACAGGCTTCCCTGAAGAGATCGGTTTTCAGAGATCGCCTAAAAGTGTGCAGAGTAGGCGATAGTCTGATAAAATGGGGGGGTAGAGAGTTCCAGAGGATGGGAGAAGCTCTGGAGAAGTCCTGGAGATGAGAATGGGAAGAGGAGACAAGGGTGCTATAGAGTAGGAGGTAATGGAGGATCGGAGAGGACAGTTTGGGTGATATTTGGAGACAAGATTGGTGATGTAATTTGGGGCGGAGTTATAAATGGCTTTATATGTTATTGTTAATGTTTTGAATTTTATCCGTTGAGCAATGGGAAGCCAGTGGAGGGATTGGCAGAGAGGGGGTGGAGGACACTGAGTGGGGGCCAGTGGAGGGATTGGCAGAGAGGGTGGAGGACACTGAATGGAGGTCAGTGAAGGGAATGGCAGAGAGGGGTGGAGGACACTGAATGGAGGTCAGTGGAGGGATTGGCAGAGAGGGGTGGAGGACACTGAGTGGAGGCCAGTGGAGGGATTGGCAGAGAGGGGTGGAGGACACTGAATGGAAGCCAGTGGGAGGGATTGGCAGAGAGGGGTGGAGGACACTGAGTGGAGGTCAGTGAAGGGATTGGCAGAGAGGGGTGGAGGGACACTGATGGAAGCCAGTGGAGGGATTGGCAGAGAGGGGTGGAGGACACTGAATGGAAGCCAGTGGAGGGATTGGCAGAGAAGGGTGGAGAGGAATGGATGGCCAGTGGAGGATTGGCAGAGAGGGGTGGAGGACACTGAGTGGAGGTCAGTGGAGAGATTGGAGGGAGGGGAGGACACTGAATAGAGGTCAGTGAAGGGAATGGCAGAGAGGGGAGGCAGATAAGGAACAGTTAGTAAGGTGGATGAGTCTGGCAGCAACATTCATGATAGACTGAAGAGGGGATAGCCTGCGATGAGGTCGGCCAGTGAGGAGGGAGTTACAATAGTCAAGGCGAGAGATAACAAGGGAGTGAATAAGTTGCTTAGTAGTTTCAGAGGTTAAGAACGGACGTATCTTGGAGATGTTCCGGAGGTGAAGTCTACAAGAATTGGACAGAGATTGGATTTGGGGCTGAAAGGACAGATGGGAGTCTAGGATTACACCGAGTACCTTGGATGAGGGGGAGGGACTGATGGTTGTATTGTTGTTCTTGATGGAGAAGTCGGGGGGGGGGGGGGGGGAATAGTATGAGCTCCTTTTTGAAAAGTTTGATTTTGAAGAAGTTGAGTGACATCCATGCCGGTATGTCACTTAGTAGGTTAGTAATGCGAGAGTTGCTTTATGATGAACGTTGTTACTTTTGCTCACAATTACTAAGAGTGATTATATTTGCTGCATATATCAGTGTCATTTTTGTTCTTTTTGACCAAATTACCTTTAATTCCAATATAAAGTTCATATTGGTCTATACTGACTTGTGTGTGAGTCCATCTTACAGGTGCCATTTACTTTGGTCACAAGAGCACGGTGGTGTCAGCAGAGGTTGGGCTTTCAACAAGAGGTCCAGATTGACAAGGAACCCAAAAATGACTAAGCAACCCTTGAGGAGGTCGTTCTACATTTGTTACCCCAACCGCTTCCCACCACCCTGGCCGTATGTGGACAGCTCAGAAATATTGCCCATTTGCTTGAAATTTGCAGATATTGAAGGTCACCATGACCACTGCTGATAATTATGGACGAGTGATAACATTCTATGGTGTATGAAACGTGATAACAATGTGTGGATTCCAATACCATCTCTATGCTGATGACACGCAAATCTGACATATCAGTATGGAGGTCACACACTGAACTCATGATAATTGCCCCCCTCCCCCAACATTTTCATGAAGATCAAAATCAAAATCAAAACCTATTAGTCCCTTCTCTAATGCCAGATGTTAGGTATAACCTTGGACTCTGACCTCTCCTTCCAGCCTCACATCCAATCAATGCCGAAATCTTGCCGCCTTAACCTCCATAACCTTCCAAAATACATCCCTTCCTAACCAACTCCACCAGAAATATACTAATCTGCTCTCCTGTTATCTCTCACCTTGACTATTGCAGCTCCCTCCTTACTGGCCTCCCTCTACACAAGCCATCCCACCCTCAGTCCATCATGAATGCTCCTGCCAGTCATCCACCTCACCAACCATTCAGTGTCCTGCTTCTCCTCTCTGCCTATCCCTCCACTGCCTTTCCTTTACCCAATGAATAAAATTCAGACTACTAACAACAACATACAAAGGTTTCCCCGAGCTACATCACCAGCCACATCTACAAATATCACTCAAACCATCCTCTTTGTTCCTCACAGTACCTCCTGCTCACTAGTTCCCTCATCACCTCCTTCCATGGCAATCTCCAGGACTTCTCCAGAGCCTCTTCCATCCTCTGGAACTCTCTACCGCAATCTGTCCTACGCTGTCCACCTTTAGTGGTCCTTTAGAGAAGTCTATCCTGCCTCCTCCTAAAAATTAAAATTTCACTTTCACTATCCCTGACAAAATATTCTTCTTCTACAAGGGTTACTATTTCAAACAGTCAGGTTTTCCTTGGATAAGCAGAGGTTTGTCCAAGATGGCGACTGGGGGGGCATTTGCCCATTGTGACATGTGTCTTGGCCAATGGACATAAGTGGTGCACAAGATTGGTGGCCAACCATCTCTTAGCACACAGTCTTAGGAAACACAACATCATTTGAGCATTTGTAATTTACATAATTAGTCCATAAAATTGTTACTGAGCATGTGCAAGTTCTTTGCTTGCCATGTAGGCAGGTGCAAGTTGACTTCCCTACACAGAAGGTGCTGTTGCATCCACCTTTGCAGGGAGAGTGGAGCACAGGAGGAATATCCATTCTCTTAGGTCTCTGTATGTATCATGAGTTGGGCTGCTGTCGGATTGGACACTTCCACCCGGTGACCTCTGTGGCATCTCTAGCTTACAAAAAGCTCTGGCTCACTGCAGCTGGCACGCATTCTGCATGTGGCTGGATTAGGGACAGGAGATCACTTGACAGGGTGAGTGTGCTTAGAGTAGGAAAAGGTTCCAGAGTAAGAAGGTCAGCACGGGGATTGTCGCCAAAGCTCCTTGGGGAACTTCTCCGCTACTTGTGCTTACTGCATTTGCCTCGAGCCTCTCTCTGCGGCCAGGCACTGCCAGCCTCTGTTCACCGCTATCTCTCTCTCCGTGCCGTCCCTCTGGGTGCTAACCACCTGGGACTTTCCCCCATACTACAGCCCACATCCATACACATTTTTATTTTATAACTTCCCAATATTCCAAGGTAGAGAAGACAGAGATGGTGGCATTGACCTTTGGTCTCCTCCAACACCTCACTGTGGCCACAGAGAGGATATGGAGGGAGAGGGGCTAATGTGACATTTACATATTTATTTCCTGTACATTGTCATAATTGCCAGTGCATTGACTGCATATTGCCCTTTTTACTCAGTGTTTGTTTTGGGGACCATATTATCCTCCAGAGGACTGTCTTTATTTCATATGCACACCACAATACAGCCTTCCTCAACCTTTTTCCCATGGAAGAACCCTTGAAAGAATATTCAGGTTTAGGGAACACCCTTCTAATATTGATAATAGCTGCAGCTTCGTGGTACCTTTTCCATCCTACATTGGTGAAGGGCTTCCTTGCACTGGTGGTCAGTGGAAAGAATGAGTTGTGTTGGTGGCAGAATTATATGGGCACCATCATCCAAGAGATCAATCCATCACTGCTCATAAGTCAGGGAAGCCTGAGAAACCTCTGGAGGAACCCTGGGAAACCTCTGGAGGAACCCTGGGCATCCTCTGGAGGAACCCTGGTGGAGAAAGGCTGCTATAGACACTTTTGTGGAGGCTTATAGGTTGGAATGCACTCCCCTGTAAATTCAATATTGTTCAGTTACCTGGGAGTTTCTGGCTCTTCTCAGTTTTGCAAGCCTGCAAAAAAAAAAAAATGCAATCATCATATTAGATCTAGATCAGTGATTCTCAGCCTTTTTTCAGTCAAGGCACCTTTTACAATTATACGCGTCTTGAGGAACCCCTTTCTTAAATATTGTAATGCAATGCTGGATGCAGTAACTAAAAGCAAGTCATATACACAAACAATAGACAGGTAGTCACACAGGTACTTTTAACCAGCATTTACACCGTTAATTATTCTAAGCATGTGAAAGACCCTCTACCAAATGAACACCTTCCCTGGCACATCATAGCATTCACTCAGCACTCCAAGAAGTAACAGAATCCAACTGCAATATTCTTGCGCTGTCAAAACCTCCACTTTTATTATCACATGACACACAGGAGGATATATCTTATAGTCATCACAATCTGCATAATAACACACACCAATAATAATGTGAGCATTACAGAATGAAATAGACACATCATTGGACAGCGTCACAACATAGAATTAATACAATACCAAAGTTATGGGAAGACGGGAAGGAACAGACCCCATCGGAACCATAGTGCACAAAGTGACCAATCAATGAGCCCATATAGCCTTGGCAAGAGTCCCAGTGTCAGAGCTGCTAGGAAGGCTCCCATCGATCTCTTTTAAACTCTCAGTTTTTCAACCCTTTTTCTTGGCAGCTTTCTCGAAGTGGGGGGGCGCCACACCCACTCTAGGAAGAGCTAGCAGAAAGGTTCCGTAATGATAATGCCTAGCCACTATATTGAATAAACAACACTATCTAAGGAGTCACAGATCAGATCAGCTTCTTATCTACCCTAAACTTACAAATTTCTAACTTCTCAGGCAAGTAGACATCTTTAAACAACTTATCTTCTAATGTAACATTTCTAGATGTCATAAACACGTTCAATCCCACAAACAAGCTCTTATCTTGCTTTAAGCAGTCTATTGTCTTGTGACTGTTCCTTTAGCCTAGAGAAACGACATCAGTCACTTCTCATGCTCCTGGCATTTGGGCAACGATGCTTAATTGTAAAAATGACCCAAGAAACAAAGGGTCCAAGGCCGACACATTTCATAGGCATTACAAATATAAAAAACAAAATTAACAGTTTTACCTACATCAGACCACGAAGGACACCCAACATTAGATGTGATTTTTCTGTTCTTCGCTGGCTTGTATACAACTTTATGGGCATTTTTTAGGCATTTTTCCAAGGCCCGCGGAAGAAACCTGAAGGGACCCCATTGTGCCTGGGCACCCTTGTTGAAAAAGGCTGGTCAAGATATCTACTTTTATTTCCCAAACCTCGAGCCTTCTCAGGGGTCTAGTATATCTTAATAGAAGTTGAGATTGCACTCCTGAGGGTTGGGTCCACCACCCATCCACTGAGGGATTTATGTATGAAGGATCAGACTAAAGACGACTCACATTTACATTGCGATGGTGTCGCCATCTTCTACAAAGTGACAGTTTATGACTGGCCCATATCTGTCTTCGTATGAAGGGTCGGGACAAAGCTGAACTATATGATATAAAAAGAACATTTCTTGTCTGTTGCCAGAAGTACTGGAGGGTTCTTATACCCAGTCAGGTGTACACCCTCAGAGCATGCTCAGATGCTCTGTCTGCTCCCTCTCCATGTTCACTCCCTGTCCAAGCTATCCTTCTGCTTCCTGGTACTAGAAGACCCCTCTAGCATTCATGGTTCAGGCAACATGTCTCTCTCTGCTCTCCTCCTCAGTATTGGACAATTTCCTCCTACATGTCTGCTTCACTTCAACAATTCACACAGCGCTATACATGAATATATTGTACATTCACTTCAGTCCCCGCCCCCGAGGAGCGTA